AAATAATAACAACTCTAATCCCAGAAAAACCCAAAATCCTGACAGATGTTTCCTCCTGGATCAGAAACGCTGCTGCAGGTGAGATGGTCAGATAATCAGGAGGTTTTTCACCACAGCAGCTTCTGCAGACGATGCTGATGAGCAGAAAATCATATTTTTATACATGATATAATCAGATTATTTCATTTATATTTCCTCTGTAACCTACAGATGAGGCTTTATAGTGAATCAGGTTATCAGAGGATTTCCTGCAGCGTTCTCTGTGTCAGTGTGAAGTGAATCTGTTCAGACTAAAATCTCGTCGGTTTTTCCCACTGACTGTCGCAGAAACACACCGATGGCTTCCTGGACCTTCAGTGGATTTAAATGGATCCCAATGGATCCGTTATAACAGGCTGATCTAAATCAGCTCAGCTCGTTTACAGTGGGCTGCAAAAACACTTTTCAGTTTTTATTTGTAAAAAATATTTTGAATATGTTTAATTTTCTTTCTTCACTATTATGAACCACTTTGTTTGACGTTCACATTAAATTCCAGTGAAATTTATTTGTTTTTGTTTGTAATGTGACAAAATATGAGAAGTTTAAGGGTTATCAATACTTTTACAAGCTGCTGTAAATAAAACATGTTCTTATTTAAACTTTACCAGAGGAGCAGCTTCAGACAGAAGGCCTAGTCAAAGCCTGGCAGCAGAGTCTCATTGTGGCAGAAAGCAGAAGTGATCCGTCTGTTTGCTTCATCATTCTGTTTCTGTCTGTGGTGAAACAAACTGTTCCTGTGAAACCACAATCATCCTTTCATCATTATGGTGAAACTTTCCATCAAAACGAGAAGCTGAGAGGAGAAAACACCTAAACTGTTTTTAACGTGAAAACAATTTATCAGTTTATCTTTGTTTTCTCCAGAATAATGAAGTTTTTCTCATTTCTCCATCAGATCATGAACAGAAAGTTAAATATTTTCCCAGAGTTCTTGTAGTTTGGAGCAAAGAGCAGAACTGAGATATAGAAACCTGTCAAAGCCTCATGTTTCTGACTCAGATGGAGGGAATCAGAGCCTGATGAATGTTTCACTACCTGAGGATTGTTCAGGTCCTTCAGAGCTGCTGTCATCCTTCTAGATGCCTGAACACCTGAACAGGTTCATGTCTGTTTACCAGACGTGAGATATTTAATTTAATTCATGTGTTTGAGTAGAGATGCATTGAAACATGGACTGGAGTCGGGATTCCTGATGTCTGTTAGGTCTGAGCTGAAAAGAGGAAATGATTTTTACCAGAACAGAATCTGATCATCAAACTTTAAGTTTCTCACTGAAACAGTAAAAACAAAGTCAGTTTGGTTTGAATAGAGACGCCTGATTGATGCTTTTAGGAAGAAAAAAGGAGGGAAGATTGGATTTTATTCAAGTCACATTTTAAAAATAGAGACAAAGCTGATCAATACACTCTGAGTATTAATCTGGTCCAAAGATGCTGGATGATGATAATAATAATAATAATAATGCATGTAAACATCTCCTGTAAGCAGCCATCAGTTTCATCAGCTCCTTTTAGCCTCAGTTTTCATCCTAACTACATTTTATTGTTTTTCTCTTCACATCTAACAGCAGAAGTTCTTCTTCCTCCTCCAGCTGCTATCTGAACGTCTCTGCTTCTGTTTTCTGCTCATTTCTTCCGATCATAAGTTTAGAACCGTTTTTTCCTCTGTGGTGAGATGTGTTAAGTTTTTCCGATAGAGACAGGAAGTTGATCAGTTCCTGTTCTCAGCACATCAGCAGGATTTATATTTAGTTTGGCTGAGCAGCTGCAGAGACGAGAGAAAACCTGATGATGTTCATGACAGAAACAGGAGGGAAAAGCTGCAGCTTCATGTTCCTCCTGATCTCAGGCTGAAACATTGTTATAAATATCAGATTAATCTGTTTTACTCTGATGATCTGATCTGGTTTCAGAGAAATGTGGCAAAATGTCGACATTCTGTCCTAAACTCTACTTTCTACTAACAGATTTTTATCTCTTATTTCATAATTTTTGATAAAAACATTTCAGGATCCAGATGAAGTGTCCCGTTTGGATCTGATCAGGTCCAGTTGCAGACATGTTACTGGTTCATTTACCAGCTTTGGAAGAATCTGGTAAATTAAAGATGTTTGTCATAAATATCAGAATCAGCTGTGAAGCTGCAGCGTTTAAAGATCCGATGATTTCTGACTTCATCCTGCTGCCTGTTCAGGTCGACCCGATCCATCAACCTTCAGAACTGACCGGTCCACCTGCTGGTCCAAACAGCACAATCTGAACGCAAAATAATCTGCTTTATTCAACAAACCTGTTAAAAATAACTTCAAAATAACAGAATATTCCAGCCTAATGAGGGAGAAGTTAGTTTGAAGGAGAAAACCCATCCATCCTCTGGTTCTGTTGGTCAGAACCAGCAGAACCGACTGGACCGACCTCTGGTCCATCACAGAGGAGGAAACAGAATCAAAACCAAACAGGAACAAACTGATGTTTTCTGGGTTTTTGTGTCTAAAATAGTTTTTTAAGGGTCACAACTACATGTTATTCAGGTGGATGTGAAAACATGTGATGTGAAGGAGCGTAGAAAACATACGCTCACTCTACCCCCGAGACGAAGACACCTGAAAGGTAAAAGGTCAAACTCGCTACATTTACCCCGTTATGTGCGCGAGGTGAAGGAGCATAAGGAGGCGCTGAAGTGGATGTGAACACATAATCGGCACGCCGCCCCCTCCAGACAGGGTTGTGGCGCCCCCGCTGGTGCAGCGCCCCTATGCGTTGCATGTGCTGCATACCCACTTTTTGCGCCACTGAGAGCTAATATTCTCTTTATAGAAATGACATGTTTCTACTTCCTTCTGCTCCTTTTCACTCATGATTTCTATGAGTTACATGAATTATTCCGATTTGTTATTGAGTGAAATAAAAATCAAATGGATCAAAACTATTTGATCTTTTTATTCTCCTCTTTAAATCGATGTCAGGAATCTGAAGTGACGGCAGGAGGATCGTTTCTCTTTATGACTGAAACAAATACAGAAAGTCGACACATGGAGATAAATCCTGAGGAATAAAATATGAGAAATGTGACGTTTGTTTAAAATCATTACTTCTCAGCTCACATATTAATAAGTGTATCTGTTTTTATCCTGTTTCTTTGCTGTAGTTCAAACTCTTTATCAAACTTTTTGTTTTTGTTTCCAGAGAATCAACCAGACCCAGACCCAGATGTTCTTTACTCCTCAGTGAGGACGCCCAGAGCTGACCTCTGACCTCCAGCAGCCGTTGGCTTCTTATCACTGAGTTGGATCTCCTGGGATCAGCCCATCACATCATGTTTAGATGAACTGATTTCCAGTAGCAGGTCAGGAAACCAGTAGCATGAGCTAAGTGTTGCAGTCAGAGACTGAGCTAATGGCTAACAGCAGCCCAAGCTAACAACAAGCTAATTCTTTGCTTTTCTGCATTTTAACTCTGTAGCAACATGTTGACCAGCAGAGGAAATTAAAAAAATTCTTACAGCAGCTTTTACTGTGTGGCGACCATGTTGGATTTTAAGATCCGGGTTGAAATGTTTGAATGTTTTTCATCTGGAAATTTAAGTTTCAGATTAGCTTCATGCTAATTTAGCTTCTAAAGACAGAAGGGATTTTATTTAATGCTTTATAATAAATTATTTTCTAGTATCAGAATCCATGTTAATAAATGAATAAATTTATTTTGTTTTTTATGTAACTTTAATGTCATGTTAGTCTCAGGTTTAGAGGCGAGTTTTATGATCCATTAATCTCCACAATCTTTGTTCCTCTCTTGTGTTTCTGTTTTATTCAGAGACAACAGGTGTCATATTTGTTACTGTTACCCTGAACAGAATGAATTAAAATATAAACTAATTTACTGCAGAAAACTGTGAAAACTTAAAATAAAATTTGGTTAAAATTGAATATCTGAGCTCTGATTTATCCTGATGTATAACATCAGGCTGCAGGACGAATGAAAAGCTGGAGATTCTAAAATATTAACTCAACATGAAACGTTTCCTTTAAAACCAGTTTTATGAATTAAATGAGTATTTTCAGTTTTTATTTGAGTTCAGATGAAGGTTTTAATTACAGCATCTTCAGCTGCTGAGAGCTGCAGTGATGAAGGAGTGATGAAGAGGAGGCTGATCTAACTCAGCTTGTCTTTGTGCAACATAAATCAGCCTGATTGCTAATGTAACCTGAACTTTAAATGTTTAATAATCTAAATTATGTTTTCAGTAACTTAGTGCCGCCTGTTGATAAACATCAGCAGCAGAAACTGAATCTGTTTTTCTCGTCGTTGTGTAAAAACTTTTACCTTCTTCCCATCGTTGCCTCAGACTCTGATGCTTCCAGACTTTTCTTCATCTGTTGGCTCCTTTAAGCTGCAGTCAGACTAAAATCAGCTCCTTTTAGCTTCTCAGTTTCACTCTAACTTTACATTTCCTGGTTATTTTCACATCTAAAAGCAGAAGTTCACATGTTGCAGCTGCTATCTGAACATTTCTGCTTCTGGTCATTTTTTCCAATCAGTTTTAGAAGAGTTTTTCTGCTCTGTGGTGAAATGTGATATTTGCTGATAGAGACGAGAAGCCGATCAGTTCCTCTGATTTATATTTAGTGATTAGCCGCCCAGTTGTTGAGGGGAGATTAAAACCTGTGAAAACCTGACGATGTTCATGGTGAGAAATGTTTGAGTTTAAAACCAGAAGCAGGAAAAGCTGCAGCTTCCTGTTCCTCCTGAAACATCAGTCATGTGGTTATAAATATCTGATTTCTCTGAACTGTTTAACTCAGTTTCCAAAGTGTCGACATCCAGCTTTAACCTCAGAGTTTTTCATTAATTCATCACAGTTTGATAAAAACTGTTGGTTCACATGGATAAAACTGTTAATGTAGAAAAACCCACAATGATCACAGAAACAACTTGAATCTGACAAAGATAAAAATTAATAAAAATTCTATGAAAATGAACAAATGAAAGTCAGATGTTGCTGTTCAAACATCAACTGAAGTATTTAAAAAAATAAACTCATGAAACACACCTGGACTAAATGATGGAACCGTTTAGTTAATATCTTGTTTCTCATCCTGTTGAGTCGATCGATTCCTGAAACTGTCGGTGAGATTCTGATCCTCAGCAGGTATTTTATCTCTGCTCAGCAGCAAACAGCTGCAGCTCTCAGGTCTGAAACGACGACATGTTTCAGCTCCTTCAGGTCAGAGGTCATAGAGGTCACTTCAGGATTCAGGTCAGAGGTCATAGAGGTCACTTCAGGATTCAGGTCAGGGGTCAGAGGTCACTTCAGAGTAGTTTAATGTTTCCTGGGTGTTTTTAGCCGAGTGTTTGGATCATTTTCTTGTTGACCTGGATAAGGAGACCAAAGCTTTCTGACACTGAGCAGCACATTTCTCTCTAGAATCCCTTCATAGTCTTATTATAACCTGCACAGATTGAAGACACCCTGTATCAGAAGCAGCATAGCAGCCCAGAGCATAACAGAGCCTCCTCCGTGTTTCACAGTAGGGACAGTGATCTTTTCTTGATGCTTCATTTCGTAGAGCTGATGTGTCAAACAGTTCAGTTTCTGTCTCATCTGTCCAGAGGAAAATCTCCCAGAATCTTTGTGTCAACATGTAGTTTGGCAAATTCCAGTCTGGTTTTTTTTTTTTTTTTTTTCAACAGTGTCGCCTCCCATTAAGTTCACTTTGGCTCAAACATCAGATGGTCTGATCTGATGCTGATGTTCCTGATGAAGACGTTTTTCTGGACCCTTCATTTCCTCCATCTCTTTGTTTCCTCATCAGTTTTCCTCCTGCAGCCATTATGTCCAGTTATTTTGGCTTCAGTCCCATGGACCTTAAATATCTGAACAATGTTTGCAGCTGTAGTCACAGGAACATCGAGCTGCTTGGAGACGATCTGATGGCCTTTAACATGATTGTCTATAATTTTCTTTCCTTCTCTTCCTCTGGTCCATGTTGAGTTTGGTCCACACCAAGTCACCACACAGCACAGTGACGACCTGTAGCGCCATCTAAAGGCCCACTGACTGATTACAGGAATGTAGACACCTAATTAGTGACACACCTGGATTTAACATGTTCATTCAGGGTCCCATCATTTAGTCCAGGTCTGTTTCATTAGTTTATTTTTTAAATAATTCTGTTGAATCATGTTTAAAAATCAATGTCTGACTTTCATTTGTTCATTTTTATAGAATTTTATGCATTATTATCTTTGTCAGAACCAATGGGAGCAAAGCAGACCCTCAGCATCATGCTGCCACCACCATGCTGGACAGTTGTTTTCCAAACACTCTTCTTGTCATTGTGGCCAATCAGCTCCACGTTTCTGTGACTATAAAACCTTTAGCTGCAGCTTTCAGTTCATCTCAGGGTGTCACAGTTAGAACTGCTGTTTTTTATTGATTGGTGCTGTCTGAGATGCTAACATGTCTGAGATGCTAACCTGGCTAAGATGCTAACCTCTCTGAGATGCTAGCCTGGCTAAGATGCTAACCTGTCTGAGACGCTAACATGGCTAAGATGCTAACCTGTCTGAGATGCTAACATAGCTAAGATGCTAACCTGTCTGAGATGCTAACCTGGCTAAGATGCTAAGCTGGCTGAGATGCTAAACTGTCTGAGATGCTAACCTGTCTGAGATGCTAACCTGGCTAAGATGCTAACCTGTCTTGCTGGGGTTGATGGTTCCAGTCTGAGGTTGATTGGTTTGGTCTGATGGAAACCAGTTTGCTGCTGGAACAGAATGAGATCCAAACTGGTTTTATTATGGATATTGATTCTGGAATGGACTCAACCTCAGCTTTATGGAAAATATATGAGTAATGTGTGAAATGAACCAGTTTAATAACAGTTAGCAGTTCTGTTAAAATGGTTAAAATCCTGTGTTTCTCTTTATCTGTGTGCAACATTTAACAAGATTTTACTGGAGGTTTATGTTATGTTTACTTTGACATGTAGATTTTTCTCTTAGATTATCTGATGTTTAATATCAGCTGGTGTTCTTGGTTCTTATTTAATAATCACTGCAGTTATTTTAAATAATCAGGATAAAGATATTAATGTCCATGAAGTGTATGTAAACATCTGAACCTGCATTATTTCTGTTTTATTTTGAAAATCTAAATTAATCTAAAAGTTCCTGCAGTGTTCGACTCACTCCAGGCTGTTTGTTCAAGTTCAGGTTTTAATTCTCCTGAGGTTGTAAAGTGTTGGCAGCATCATGCTGTGGGTCTGTTCAGGACATTGGAGCTAAAAACAAGAGATGAAGTGTTTGTGAAAACTGCATTTTATGTATTTATTTTTATGTATTTGTGTAATGTGATTGCTCATTGCTCTGATTTCTGTATATTTCTGTATATTTTGCTGATTTTGTTTCTACCACTAAGACAGCAGACAGAAAAATAGATAAAACCTTTTTTAGTCTCTGATTTTCTGTTCATTTTCTAAATAACTAAATAAAACCATAAACTGCTTTCTTTTTCAGTTTCTTTTTTTAATCCTGATTCTCATGTTTCAGTCAGTTTGGCTCATTTAAAACTCTGGGATGTGAATCTAGAGCAAACCTCATGGACAGCGCCCTCTGGTGGTTTAAACCTGTAAACTACGATTGAACTCAGACTTTAATTCCTCCTCTGCGTCTAACTGCTACTTTAATCTGGAGATTCAGGCTCACTGGACCGTCTAAAGTTCATCACAGATCAAAATGTTTGCAGTAAAGCATTAACTCATGTCAGCACGTCTCCATGGCAACAGCAGAAACAGGAAACTCCATCCAACTCACTTCCTGTCCTCTGAAACGCTGCAGTTCTCAGAAGGAGGCAGATTTTATAGACATTTCCTGAATGTTTACCTTTAAATAATTAAATTTACTAGATAAATCTAGAACTAATCAGTCCACATGGAGAAATATTGATCTGAACTTTAGGTTTCTTCCAGTTTCTCGTTTCAAAGTTAAACTTCCTGGTTTTGAGGAAACATTCAGATTATTTAATGGGTCGTCTCCAGGGGGCGCAACTTCAGATTATCTGGTGGAACCATGACGTCACCTTCACACTAATGTCTGACTTCCTGGTTCATCTGTTTTTCTGAATGTAATCTTGTGCTGCAGCGCCACCTGCTGCTCATACACACACCTGCAGCTTCTGCTTCACTACAGCAACTCTGACCTTTGATCTTTAATCTGCTGTAAACACATTTCAGTCCATCGATTAAAAACATCTGGATTGAAACTATTTGAGTCTTTATCACCAGATCTTAGTTATACAGAGGTTTGATTTGCTCCAGTGATGAAGGACGGAGGTGATGAAGAGGAGGCTGATCATCAGTTTAAAGATCCTTTTATTTCTCAGCAACAGATTCCTCTAGAAAAATATTTTATTTTGTCACAAAAGCCAAATTTTCTTGATCATAATTGATTTGTTCAAGCAATAAAAACGTTAAAACATCCCGAGGTGAAAACTTTCTACAGGCTCCGTAGTTTAGGGGGCGGAGCCTCAGCTTATCAGGTTAAAGGGGCGGAGCCTCAGCTTATCAGGTTAAAGGGGTGGAGCCTCAGCTCTTCATCATCTCCTCTACCTGCTCTCTTCCTCCATCTGGTTCAAAGATTCAACGGGTTTCTGATGTTGCTTCATCCAGGAAGTTGCAGCAACCTGCAGCTCAGGTTGCTTCGTCTGCTTTGAACTGGTTTCAGTTCAGATAACTGGAGCTGAACTGGTTCAGCAGTTCATCATCACTTGTTCATTTTGTTGGAAACCGTTTGAATTTCACAAGATGAGAAAATAGTCTTTAATTTATTCATAAATTTAAAATTACAATTCATGTTCAACATCAAATCTAATCTGTTTGTCAATAATTATAAGTTAAAACAATCTGACCTTTGCCCTCTGGACTCAGGTTTGTTTCTGCTCAGATTATTGAAGCTCTTCTGTCGTATCAGGAGAATAAAATAGCAATTTTATAAAACTTCCATCATGAAAAATTATTAAATTAATGATTTTAACTTTTTTCTCATAATTTTAATGCATCTGTTGATAAAATTATGTCTTTATTCTGATATTCTCATAATTAAACAAAATCACAGAAAGGCTGATTAAAATTATAAAGTCTGAACAAAACTGCACTTAAAAATTATTATCCAGATCATTTTAATTCATCATATGATCAATTGATTAATTGCTGATCTGGTATTTCCTTTTTCTGAATTAAAACAAAAATCTAAGTCAGTGAAATGAATCAGTTTGTTAGATGGAGCTTAACTACAGATTATTTACATAAATCCAGTAAAATCAGTGCATATTAATGTTTAAACTGGATGTTTTAAACTTACTCAATAAGTTTAATTTTCCACCAAACCTGAGATTTAAATAAAACCAGTGGAATTAGTTTTATTTTAGTTTAAAAACATAAAGTTCCTCTGAAATGATGTTTGTTTAGTGAGTCCAGAGACGTTGATGATGTTAATCCTCTGAGTTCAACTTTATGTCATCACCATAATCATTTTCCTCTTCCTCCTCCTCCTCCTTCTGCTCTTCTTGCTCCTGGGCCGCCCGGGCTGCAGGAGGACAGACAGGGTGAGCCGGGCCGCCCGGGCCAGCGGCATTATGGGAAACGCAGTTCCACTCACTCACCTTGCTTGAAGTAGCGTCTGTTCTTATACACCAGGACGGTAGCAATAGTCAGACACACACTGAGCAGAACCAGCAGAATGATGACAAAGGGAGGAAACGGCGCTGTGGGAACACACAGGCGGACCAGTCAAAGTAACAGCATGATCCACAGCCAGGAGAGACTACAGACATGGACTAGTCAAAGTAACACAGCCAGGAGAGACTACAGACATGGACCAGTCAAAGTAACACAGCCAGGAGAGACTACAAACATGGACCAGTCAAAGTAACACAACATCATTCTACCATCTGTTTTACTCAACATGCTAGTATAAATCCGGGATACAAAACATTTTCATCATGTTTTATAAAATAAAAATCATTCTTTTATTTTGAGCTGTTTTAGGGACACTGTCACTTTAAATCACATTATGCTGCTGCTGGCCACGCCCACATCTCAAAGGTTACACTTTAAACATAAAAATGGCGGCGAACAGAAGCGTATTGGCACAAAGCTGCATCCAGTGGCGCCTCGTCAGCCAATAAGGAAGCAGCAGAACTTTCTGAACGGCCACTCAACAAGCCGCCCCTTTAAACAGTTAAAGGGGCGGTGTTATGTAAATGTTGTTCCCTCATCTAAAACACACGTCGCAAATTGTTTTGATTCTTTCATGAACGTCAGAGAAACTCCTTTAATCTCCATGGCAACCACTGCCTAAACTCAGAGCTGCTGCCTCCTTCCCCACTCAGCTCCTCCAGACTAGCGGCAGCAGCAATTAGCAAACACCTGGAGCAGCGGTGTCAAACTCCAGTCCTCAGTCCTGCAGGTTTTAGATGTGCCACAGGTACAAAACACGAATGAAACGGCTTCATTCCCTCCTCCTGGTGAAGATCAGCTCTCCAGAGCCTTAATGACCTGATTATTCTATTCAGGTGGTGCAGCAGAGGCTCATCTAAAGGTTACAGGACAGCGGGCCGGCAGGACGGGAGTTTGACACCTGTGACCTGGAGGAACTGATCGCCTGCTGAGCTCATCATATGAACTACGTTCAGTTAAATCCAGAGTCAAATGTCAGAACCTTTTTAAAGCCACCTTGAATAAAAGTTCAGACTGTAGAAACTATAAATATCAGGGATGAATTTACTGCATTAGAGTGAAGATTTTCAAAACCTGACATTTCTGCTT